AAGACCATTCATATATCATATTTTAAGCCTTTTTCTATTGAGATGGGAAAAGCACACTATGTTAAAAAGAAAATCGATCCTATGGGCCAGGCTCCATACTTCAGTGGGGTTCAATGGCACTATGACATACATTTAAGCATTCCACAGCATCAGATTCGAGCGGGAGCTGGCTGGTTGCAGTGGGTGATGGCAACTGCAGGCCCTGAAAGTAGAAAAATAAGAATAATAGGTTAAGTGTCTAGCGTAGCGTGATCAGGCTATTGTCGCATATATTGGTAAAGCTACTACAACATTATTTTAAAATCTATGTAATACAAAAACAGCTTAACAATAAAATCCTTTCTCCATACACCCAGTAAACGATTAGACTTTTAATGTCAATAAGAAAATGAGCCAAACCAGCAGCACTGACAGGCCCATGCCTCTTCCTGTCTACAGAAACATTACTGACAAGCTCCTGTAGCTACAACTGCCTTGAGATGGAAGTAACCTGGAACAGAACTACAAACTTTCTTCCTATTAAAAGTAAAACCTTAATCCTCCTTAATTGCCCTGTTTCTTCCTCAAACTTTAAGAAAACAGACTCCGATGTAGGATCTAATAGTTCCTATTTACTACTCCAGGAATGGCCAGCCTAAATTTTAAACACAAATAATACATTATGCTGCCACAAAACCATTTTTTCTCTCCTCCCACAGTTCACCTCAATAAAACTTTAAACACTGTCCCTTATCTTGCCAAAAAATTTTTTTTTTAAAAGAAACCTACCTCTTCCAAGGTAGGGATGATTTTCTTCAGAATTTCTCCAATCGTCTCAATATCGGCACTGATACTCAGTATGCTGCCAAACATCACATAATACAAAAAAGGTGGAAAAGAAAAATGAGTTTTGTCATCAGTAGTCATACAAACTTTTAGAGAAGTAACATCATAATTACTTAATAGTCCCCATTTAAGGTAGCCTATTTATGAATTTTACACATGCATTTTATTTGATGCCCAATACAGACATAACATTATTAGGAGACTTTGAGAGAGACAGAGAGAATGGGCTGCTGGAAGGGCTCAGATTAAGTGGCAATAATCGACCAGAATTGAAGCAGAGTTGAATTCTCATGTTCCCCGCCACCAAGTTAAGGACACCCTCGCTTGTTATGGTAATACTGGCACACTTTCTCTTGGGTAAATTGAGGGACTATGCAAGTGGTGAACATTGTATCTGGAGTAAGGTTATGGAGACCAGTTAGAAATTAGACTACTTAATGGGCTCTGCAAGAAAACAAATACAAATGCAGGACACAACACAGACAGTACAAATGAGAAGTGAAGGAAAGTGAACCAGTTAGCGTTTCATCAGAAAAAATTATGAACAGACAATGTTGGGAAGCAAGGTGGGCCACAAAGACAGAGCGAGAGACTATCTGGGTAACAGTCTGATTTACAATGCAGCAAATATGCAACACTTGAAGCTGTGCTCCTTCCATCCAAATAAAATTAGTGGATCGTTTGGGTGGGCAACTCACGGTAAAAGTTCAGTGACAAAAGGACTTAATGGGGAAAATAAGACAGAAACTTGAAAAACAATACACCGTCTAAAGGGGATACTATTTAAGTATATAAAAGGCAGGTAATAAAATACATTTCTCTCTTTCTAATCAGGCAGTGAGGCATAAACTGTTGGGACATACCGCTCGGGGCCACTGCTGTCTGGGACTGAAACACTGGCATTGTACTGCATTGGTCATTGGCGTTCGTGGATGTTGGCATTGGGCATGGGCATTCAATCAGAAGTTGTCAAGTATTGTACCCGTTTGGCAACGAGCACATTTTTGGGCATAGCCAACCAGGGTTTTCACATGGGCGTTCAGGGGCGGATGGGCCAACGTCATGGTGGGCAACGCAGGGGTAAGTCGATCCAGTACATGGGCAACGGAGATATATGGCCAAAAAAACAAGGAGAGGGAAAAGGGGGAAAAGCAATAAATTTTAATTTAATACAAACTATACTCAATACTCTCAATGAAACAAGCTTAAGTTGTTCTGAAGACTAACACAATAATGGACTTCTCTATACCTGACCGTGGCTTAACAGTTAAGGACCTTAAATGATGGTTCTAGTTTTTTTTTTTTTAATGTTTCAGTAGCAGGCTGGCTCGTGAGGGTAGACACAAAACCTGTCATGACTCAAAAGTTTACTGAAATTCTTGAGGAAAATGGGGAAATAACCCAGATAATTATACAGAACATCTGGATTAAGAGGAAAGAGGTTCAAAGACAAAACAAAAATTCCCACACCAAACCCCCAACTAATAAGACTGATTTGGTTTCATGAGGTGTAAAACACATTCCTATATCTTATAAGCAGATTTGTAAAAACTACAACAAAATCTAAAGTTTATAGTAATCAAGAGAAACACAAGGATCTGTTACCGAGAGAAATGAAATACTGTTAGGTACTCAACAAAGGTATTTGCTTCAATATTACCAAGATAAACATTAAGAAATGTGCATAGTATGAGGGGGGAAAACAAACAAATTTTGGTGTAGTCAAGTTCTAGAAATACACACACACTTCTGGTGCTGCCAACATTTAAATATGTGTCTAATCACAAGAGTCAACCCACTATAAATTATGAAGACTCAAATCCTAGGCAAACAGTTCTGATTGCCAAGATTAATCTATTCATTACCCAAATTTAATCAGTCAACATTAGCTCCATGTTGCAAACTGTGGAACAGATGAAATTTTTTAAAATCGGAAATAAAGAGTTTTTAATCAGCCATTGTCAACGGCTTTCAGAAATGACGGAATCCCTCTTACACATACACAAGAGGAATGAATGGTACAATTAAGGGTTTTTATACTTTGTCTCTATTCCTAATTAAGGTGTTTTATTTGAAGTGAATTAATTTGAAGGGTTTTATTAAAATATGAAAAGATTTAATTAGGTATGTTCCACCTTAAAGCAGGGTTAAAAAAAAAAAAGCAAAAATCATCTATATAACCATTAATTGTTACGAATGGTTTACAGCTAGTCAGTGATTTCTAAGATGAGAACCCTTAAAATTCTAGAAACATACAATGAATTTGCTTGTTCAGTAGTTTAATACTTACGTCTGTACGAAGAGCCTTAATATTCTTGCCTCCTTTTCCAATCACTGCCCCAGCATTCTGGAATAGACAAATTATTTTACATTTAGAAAATTAGTATTTTTAAGCTACATTCTTAACTTTAACAAAGTTTGCACAGCACTGAAGATCTTAAGAAAAATCAGGATGAGTAGTTTTACAATAGGTCTTTGGAATACTTAGAACACCAGGCATGAATAGAAAATTCCTAGAAAGTGTAGATTACAAGTGCCCTCTTGTAAAAAACAAAAACAAAAAAACCCAAATAGAATCTAAGCAGCAACTACTTTTATATTATGACTTGGTAAACTTAAGTAACGCCACTCATTTTTCTAGCTTGGTATGTGGTGGACCCTGGTAATAAACAGGGCTTTCACCATCAAAATTTCAGCACTACCTGAAATTTTGAAGTCTGCTTATCATTAAGAACTACATCAGCTAAATGTTATAGTGCACACCCATAATCCCAGAACTCAAAGGTAGAGAATCAAGTGTACAAGGCCAGCCTCACCTATGAGAGGTCTCAACACAAATGAGCTCTCTAGAAAACTTTTATTCAAAGCTCTGAAAGCCTTTCAGAGTCAAAGCAGAGCTCAAGTGAAAAATTGTCAATTTCTATTTGACTACTAACTAACCTCCAAAACTTAAAGGAAAAAAGCTTATACCTTGCTCTGAAGCAAAATGCGCAATTCAACCATCTCATCAGTATTTCTAGATCTTTTAAAGGCTTGTTCCTCTTCCATATCTTCTGCAGGGCGTTTACCTAGAAATTAAAAAGTTTAAATTTTAAATTAGAAATATCCGAAGAAAGAGTAATTGAAACCACATTTTAAGCCCCTGCCTTTGTCTCCCTTCCTAACAAAGATCTTATTTTAATAAATATTTCAAAGGATTAAAATAGTGGGTTGAAAAACTGTACTGGTTTTTACCTGTGAAAGAAAAGGCTACTTTTCATAAAAAACAAGAAGTTAACAGATATAAACTCAAGACTACAAAAATAAAACATGAAGGAGGAAAACAGAACACAAAAACATTTGATGATGAAAGTGATGGATCAGAAAATATATAATTGGTTATAATTAAAATATCTTCTCACCAAATTCACCATTGGTTTCGGTGTTGGGGAAGGTTTCTTCTGGCTGTTCAGTCTCCATTTTCTTGAATTAAATGAATCCACCAATCTGTTGAAAAATAAAGAAGCTAGCAAGTATGTTTGGCTTATCAGAAAGCAAACACTATTTTGCTTAAATTCTTAAAAAAAAAAAAAGATTCCATTTCAAGCATACAAGAACACCCTTGCAGAGCATAAGTGACATCCTAGTGCTTCAGTAAGCTATAAAAACCAAAATAAACCAGTTTTCCTTTTCTTGTCATTACTTAATACTAATATCAGGTTGAAGGATTTGAGGAAACGAAAATATTCCTAAAAATGAACTGTTAAATATAAAAAACCGAGGAGAGGTGTAATGGATTTCTTTTCAACTATTTAAACTGTCTCAATAAAACAAAACAGCCTAGCCACCTCCACCACCAGAGCCTTTTTCCCTGGGAGGGGGAATATCAGTAATTCCGTCCTTGCCCTCAGCAACTTGCTTCATTTTGTTACAACGGAAAAGCCAGCCGACCTTTTTTCACAAGACTAATTCTTGAAAAGACCACGTCTATCACAAAACTAGTGTGCTAGTAGATAGTAGACTGGTAGTAATCCCCACCACCCTTTAGTCGTAACTGACAACACTAATCAATGAAATCTGCCAACCTTACAAAAAAAAAAAAACATATACAAGCTACATTAAACTTTCAGACAGAGAAACCTAAAATTCTGATTAAGGGACCAGATTGAAACGACCACCACTAACCAGCAAAGCAGATGTTAATGGTGTCGGAACCTTTAACCACCAACACCATTATTTCATGTTAAAAGGGCTGTCTCCCAACAATTTCGCCTCTAATTCAACTCTCAAGACTGCATGCAAAGCGTCACAACTGGTCCAGTCAACTTGTGGTCCTACCAAACCAACGACTAGCACAGGATCCTCAAGTCAAGGTATCGCATTCACGCCTTCTCCTATTCCAGGACGCCGGCTGCAAGTGTCTGTCACCGAGGACGACCCGAGACGCCGAGACCCGCCACCCCGCTCAAGCCCAGGCCCCAGGGCACAGGAAGACCAGGGTCTACGCACTCAAGTCCAGCCCTCGCCCGCCCCGTAGCCGCCGTCCCCGGAACCCGCCAGCACTAACAGGCCCGCCGAGCGACCGCACGCGCTGTCCTCTCGCCCACGGGCCCGGCCCGCAAGCAAGCGCCCAGCCACAGTCGCCGAGCCTCTCCTCTCCTCACCCGGATCCGACAGGAAATGGCGGCCCGCGTAATGGCGACTACGTGCGACTAGGCGGAGTCGCGCGAGACCCCCCTCCCCCACCCAGCACGCGGGCTCGCGAGCGCCCGGCCCCCGCACCTCCCCCACCGCCCGAGACAAAGCAGCCGCGGGAGCCGCGGCCTCCCCATCGGCCCCGCCGCGCAGCCCGCCCCGCCGGGGGGAGGAGGCTCACGCCGCGGAGGGACAAAGAGGGCGGCGGGGGCGCCGCGGCCCACGACACCCGCGAGCCCACCGGCCGCCCCGGCGCTCGCTCCACACGGGGCGCCCGCGTCGCAAACCCACAGGCCTTTCCTTACGGGTCCCCGAAACCACCTAGCACCGGCACGCCAACCGCAGAGGCACGCTCGGGGGGAAATGGCGGCGGTGGGGGAGGGGAGCCCGGGCAACGTTCCCCGGCGGACCATGGCCGGCCCGAGCGTGCCCCGACAGCCGAGGGAGGGCCCGGCCCCGCTCCCCCAAGCGCGGCTCGCCCGGCCCTGCTCACCGCGCGAGTCCGCCGTTGCCTCCCGGCCGCGCCGCCTCCGACGGTCGGTCACTGCTAGACAGAGAACGAGGACAAGCCCCCTCCCACCTCAGCGTCGCGCCCCATTGGCTGCCCAGGCTTCGGCGGTGGTGCGAGGGCGAAGCGATTGGCCCAAGGCCGCGTCAATTACGGCGCCGAGAACCCCGCCTTCCGCCGGCGACTCCCTTTGGGCTGTAAGGCCGCGGGCCTGAGAAAACCCGGGCATGGGGATAGCCCAAGCTGCCATCCCGGGACGCCAATCCGGCTCCCGGGACTCGCCACCCCGCAGCCCTAGTCACCACGGTACCTACAGGCCGCAATCGAGTGGGAGATGAGCACGACGGCGACGTCCGTGCAGCGGAGAAGCAGAGGATAATGGCGTCTGCAGCGCTGTCGCCTGTAGCGCCCTCCTCCTTTCTCGTTCGCGCACTCTGTAGTGAGGGGGAGGGGAAATAGTGACAATCCTCTCGCGAGACTTCGCCGGGCTGCTCACGTGTGCCGGGAGGGGGGCGGCCGCGGGGGGATTTTCGAGCCCCGAGGGAAATTCTCCGGGTTGGAGGAGGGACACCCGTGCGCGGCGGATTGGGCGGGAAGAAGTCAAAGAGGGAAAAAAGAAAACCCTAGGACCGGGAAAGGGAGAGCACCGGGCGGCGAGCGGCGGCCTCTCGGGCGCGCGGCCCTGGGATCACGAGCCGAGGCGGGAAGGCCAGGTCGGTGCTCGGCCCGGGTTCCACTGCTCACCGTCGCGTCTCGCTCGCTCCCTCCCTCCCCGCGCTGCGGGCTCTGCGCCCCTCCGCGCCGCCCGGGAAACCCGCTGTGCTAACGGCTCGCCGGGCGGGGAGGGCGGGGGAGGTCTGGAAGCGGCGCCCCTCGGCGTCTGAGGGAGCCGGGACTCCCTTCCGTGTCGGGCCCGTGCAGTGCGGACCACGGAACGCCCTGGAGGCGTCCGGGCAGCGGCGCTCCTCGGGACCCTCCCGAGAAAGCTCGCAGGCACACCGCCCCGCCATGGCCGTCCCACCAGGGGAAGGCTCACTGTGGGTGCTCCCCTCCCTCCTCACCCTCACGGCAGTCCTCCACGGCCCCAAACTCTGGCCGAGGCGTCAAGATGTCCGTGTGTGGAGGCCGTCTCTAGTTAGCGAGGCGTTTGAGCGGTTGCACCCTGTCCTACCCCTTCCTGGGAAGACTCCAACACAAGTGCCCCCGCTCCCTGTAACTGGCTCTGTCAGGTAGCAGTCGAGCCACCCTCTCCTTACCTGACAGAGGAGACCGGGGACGGAGGGTTTGCTGAGGCACGAAGTGAGCGTGGTTTTGTTTTGAGACAGAATGTCGCGGGGTTGTGTAGACCTCCTGCCTCTGCCTCTCAAGTGCTGGCGTTAAAGGTGTGTGCCACCACCCCCGGCTCAAGATTTCTAATATGGTGGGTTTTGAGACGGAGGGTCTCTCAAAAGGTCCGCCTGCTTCTCCCTCCCAAGGCCCGAGATTAAAGGCAAGCACACCCATGGCCAGCTAAAGTTAGAATTTCTGTCGTCACATTTTTTCCCCCGAGGCAGGGCTTCTCTCTGTAGCCCTGGCTGGCCTGGATCTCTCTCCTGAGATCTGCCTGCCTCTGCCTCCCGAGTGCTGGGATGATGGCGTGAACCAAGCCACCACCGCCCGGCTAACAGCTCTGTCTCTTTTTTTTTTTTTTTCTTGTAAGTTAATGAGACGTGAGAATCTATAGGAAACTGTAGAGCAGTTGTCTTGACTAGATTCCAGCGAGAAGTTGCTCCCTCTAGATTCCATGATGGGATCGTTCGTGCCCCCAGCTACATCCGTTTGTTTTCTTCTCTCACACTGTCGATTTTTCTCTTGGAATAGTCAGAAAGTCCATCTTTTGTCCGTCCTTCATTTTCTATTTGGAGTTGGAAGTTTTCAATTCATTATTAAAACCTCAGACTGGACATGTATCTCGGTGGCACAGCGCTTGAGTGTGGAGGCCCTGGATTTGGGTGACACAACAAAGCCTGTGCCAGTTGGCTTCGTTTAGTGGCTCCTGGGTATACCGGGAGTTAATGGTTAAATGGTGTAGTCTAATGCTCTAGTGTCAGTTTGGATCCAGTATTACTTAGCTGTGGGATTTAATATAATTTCAACAATTCAGTAGCCAGCTGGGATAATATTTAAAATACTATAGGCGCCATACCCTAAGTTCTCTCCTGTTTGCCACTTTGTGCTGACAATTTAATGCCTATTACAGTACTTTGAATAAGTTCTTGTTTCGTGTATGAGGAGATCCTTGAAAAGTAGAATAAGCTATGGTGGTTCATGCCTTTAATCGTAGCAGCTGGGAGGCAGAGACGTGAATCTGAGTTCCAGGTCAGCCAGAGCTACGTAGTCAAACTGTCTCAAGAAACAAAAACTAAGGCAAGAGAGCAGATTCGTGAGATGGGTCAGTGAGTGAAGGTGTTTGCCGCCAAGGTCAAGCCTGATGGTGTAAATTTCATCTCCAGAATGGGGGAAGAGCAGAACTTACTCCCAAATTGACCTCTAACCTCCGCACATGCATATATAATGAAAAAAAAATGTTTCAAAGAATATTGAGGATAAAAACCATATCCAAGGTGATGGAACAGAGCTGGGTTGCAGACTCCTAAATGGAATTTTATCTTTATTTTTATTTTTTTTCCTCAAGACAGGGTCTCTCTTTGTAGCCCTGGCTGCCCTCAAACTCTGAGATTTGCTTGCCTTTGCCTTCCAAGTGCTGGGATTAAAGGAGTGTGCTGCTAGCCCAGCCTGTCAACAGTAATGTGGGTTTTTTATCCCTGGCTTTTTTTTTGGTTTTTTGAGACAGGGTTTTTCTGTATAGCCCTGGCTGTCCTGGAACTCACTCTGTAGACCAGGCTAGCCTCGAACTCTCAAACTCAGAAAGCTGCCTGCCTCTGCCTCCCAAGTGCTGGGATTAAAGGCGTGCGCCATCACCGCCCGGCTGTGTGTGTGTGTGTGTGTGTGTGTGACTGACTGTACACACATGCTATACAAGCGAGTGGGAGCCACAGGACAACTTTGTGGAGGTGGTTCTCTCCTCTACTCTGTTGGACCATAGGAGTGGACTTATTCATTACATTTAGTGGCAGGCACCTTTACTTGCTAAACAATTTCCTGGCCCAGCTTATTTTTTAGAAGAAAATAATAGAAACATAAAATGGATATAAATATTTGTTACTGATTTAAGATCTCAGCTATTGATTGGATGCCACATACAATATCTAGGGATGGTAGTTTATTAAAAAAAATTAAATGTGATTGAAAATTAATCATTGAGCCAAATGTGCCTAAACCTTAGTGGTAAGTAATAGAATTTTTCTACTTTGTTCTGTTTTATTCTTAGTAGCTTTTAGAATGTAGACAGGTATTATTAGCCAAACCTATCAGGTGCAAAGGTTAATAAAATATTTTTTCTTACCATAAAAGCAGTGAGGGTTAAGTTTTGTAATTTTATATGTTGCTATTATGTTAAGAAAATACAAATATATTTTCATGTCATTAAATAGTCCCTAAAAAACATTAGAGCTGGGTGTGATGGTATATTCTTTTAATCCCAGAACTTGGGAGGCAGGCACGGGTAGGTCTCCAAGTGGAGACCAGTCTGGTCTACAGAGAGAGTTCCAAAGCCGCATAATAAGAGAGGCCCTGTCTCAACCAAACAAAACAAAGCTTCGGGGTCTGGAGGGATGGTTCCCAGGCTAAGCATACACTGCTCTTCCCTCCCCCACATGTACACCACCCCCACACAGACACTTAAAATTTTTAAAGATCTTTGAAAATTACACAGCCTTCTATTTCATGCACATAATGTACATTTTTTGCTTGATAACATTTAAACCCCCTCAAATACAAAAATATTGATAAGCTTTTTCAGATAAATATTCTGATGTCTTTCTCTTTTTCCTCTTCCCTTCTCCCTCTCCCCTTTCCTCCTAAATCCTAGAGATTGAGCCCAAGGCTGCAGATAGACCTTGTTTTTGTCTTTATTTCTTTTAATATTGGTTCTAGAAAGTAAAAGATGTATGTAAACTTAATGTCCAACTTAAAAGGTCTCTTTTTCCAAGTTGTTTTTCTTGTACTGAGGGGACTGTTGTTTGTTCATCAGCAATTGGGAAATTGTGTGTCTTAGCTAACCCTTTGCTATCTGCTATGACTATGGTAATACAATTTTACAAGGGAGAGGGTATGCTTATCCAAGACCAAGTGGGGTCCCAGGCTACACTATCTGCTGTGCTTGCCTTCCTCAAGCTGGCCCGGTGGGTAAGGAAGGGCACTTGCCACCAAGCCTGACCTCATAGTTTTGATCCCTGGAACCCAGCTAGTGGAAAGAGAACCAAGTTATATCATGGTTACATCACTGCTCCAACAACAAAAGAAAAGGCTGGGCAGTGGTGGCACACGCCTTTAATCCCAGCACTTGGGAGGCAGAGACAGGAGGATTTCTGAGTTCGAGGCCAGCCTGGTCTACAGAGTGAGTTCCAGGACAGCCAGGGCTACACAGAGAAACCCTGTCTCAAAAAACCAAAAAAAAAAAAAAAAGGTCATCTGGTACCAGAGTTTCCTTTGACCTGCTCTGTCATACACTGCATTAATTACCTTTTTATCTTCTAGCTTGATTTTTAACCCTGGCTGTCCTGGAACTAGCTGGGTAAATCAGGCTCCCTCTGACTCCCTAGAGCTAGGTATATGCCACCACCACCTGGCTAAATTTCCAGTTTTAGCCTATATTGTTTTTATAGCCTTGATTCTTTTTACCTTTATTGCCCCCACCATCATACTCTTGTACTCGTGGGAATAGGCCAGTGACTTTCTGTGGTGTCATTTTAGAATCCTCACTGCTCCTCGTCATACGTTTCAGGGTCATTTCTCTGCAGAAGAGGCTTTGAGAACTCTACTGACCATCCAGCTTGAAGTCCTGTTAGTAGATCGCAGGCTGCCTGCTAAGTGGTAAGTTTTCTTATGAACATGTTAAGCCTTTAAATAAGTTGTACCTCTTCAGTACCTTTCTCTCTGGAA